AATATTTTTCTTTAACAAAATTAAACGCTATAACAAACTTTAATATTTATTATTTTTAAACTCATAAATCACAAGTTCAACGATATAATGATAAATAAAATAATTTTAAAATATGATTCATAATTTTCAATGATTTATCAAATAAGCTCTAAGTTTAGAGAAATTTAGATATGAATTTAATTTAAAAGTTTAGGAAGTTTTACAATATATCATTTCTTCCCAAATAAATAAAATACTAAGAAATATTAATCACTTGGCCATAAAATCAAAGAACTTTTTAATTATGAGTACATAGATATTTAGTCCTTTTATTCATGTTCAAAATTGAATTATATCACTATTTTTTAATATTATGTGTCACACCCCATAAATTGCCACTATAATATAAAATATATATAGAGCACTAAGAATAAAATAATGGGGCATGAGGTTTTAAATATTTAAAAAATGTTAGTGGAAGATAATGGATTAATCACCATGGGTTTTAAAACATTAAAAAAATGTTTGTGGTAAACAATGGATGAATCACAGGGCCATAATGAATTTTTTTTATTTAAAATAATAGAGGGTTGGTTTTATTTTTAAGTGTGGATGATTATCATGTTTGGAAGATTCATCTTCCCGTGTGTTAAACTCATTTTTCTTCATTTAAGCTAGCTTCCGCCCCTTCTCCTCCTCCTTGTTCCGGCCGGCAGTGGACAGCACCACCACCTCCATCAGGTGCGCCTGACCTCTACGAAGTGATACCGATCATCGTTCTAATTTTGTCGATTTCGACCATTTCAACGACCCACTTGTTTCACCGCCTCGATTTCAGACTCCTCGTAGCTTTCCGATCAAAACCCAGTAGGTGGGTTGAGTTGAAATTGACGTATCGTCTGTCCGCCGTAGGTAAAGTCAGATCGTTTAATTTCGATAATATTTTAGTGTTTTAGCTTGAAAACATGTTATAGTTGGCGTTGGTTTATATTGTTGTACCTCAGGGAGTAACCAAATGTTGACCCGACCGTTGACATGACTTGTGAAATATGTAAAACAACTCGGGTGATATTTTTGTAAATATTTTTAAAAGAGTGTCTAATACGTAATTAATTTATGTTCGTTGATATTTTTGTAAATATTTTTAAAATAGTGCCTAATACATAATTAATTTCTATTCGGTGCTATTTTTATAAATATTTTTTAAAAGAGGCCTAATACGTAATTAATTTCTGTTCGGTGCTATTTTTGTAAATATTTTTAAAAGGATGTTAGTTTCGTAAATATTTTTAAAAGGGTGTTAGTTTCGTAAATATTTTTAAAAGGTGTTAGTTTCGTAAATATTTTTAAAAGGGTGTTAGTTTCGTAAATATTTTTAAAAGGTGTTAGTTTCGTAAATATTTTTAAAAGGTGTTAGTTTCGTAATTAATTTTTGTTAAGGTGCTATTTTCGTAAAAGTTGACTGTTGACTGACCACCGTTGACCATAACTTTGACTGGCGTTGACCGGCCATTAAACGACCGTTGCTTTTTCCGGGTATACCTATTCTGACATTTTTTGACGTTCTGAGTCCGAATCTAAAGTTCGTTTTACCAAATTCAAAACCGAAAGCCTCTGAATTAGCCCGTAAACCTGAAAAATTCATATTTATCTAAGTGTTTTAATTTAGTTAATTGAACTGAATGAACAAGGACTAATTATAGTTATGTTAAAGGTACTTGGGGATCTCTTGATTGTTTCACTGCTCGACCCGGTTCCTCCCGATCTGCTCGTCCACGAGAAGCTGTGAATACTCGTATAGTTCTGAAACCCTGTTAGTTATTCTGTTTAGAATATTGTTCTGAATATAACCATGTTCTGATATGGATTAGGTTCCCGTTTAGTCGAAGAGCCTAGTGAAGCTGGTGCTCGATAGATCTTTTAGACTGACCCTATTATCAAGGTATGTTCCTTATGTGCAGTATAAATGTTTTAAATATTTGTTTGAAATCTCATGTGCACATGATTGTTTTCTCTGATTTGAAGTATAATATTTGATATGATTTGACTATTGTATGATTTACTTGATTTCGGATTTACTAAAATATAAAGCATGATTGTCCGACTTATGATTTCTGGATACCGATTTACTGAACTGATGATCTGTCTGAACTCTGAATTTCTGTTACTACTGGTTACCATCTGAAAAATGTTTTCTTCGGGGTACTCTGGGTTCTGGTATGAAGACTCTAGCAGGTTCAGTCGCTGTTGGTAATTCCTCTGATAGGTTCAGCATCGATTGGTAATTCCTTATGGACCTAAGTCGAGTCTTGGGTAGGCTCTGCGGCCCTGAGAATTTTCTTGGGTAAGTCTTAGTGGCCCCAAGAATTGTCTTGGGTAGGCTCGCAGGCCCCGAGTTGCTCCCTTAGGTTGTGCAGTTCTGGGGAATCTGCACATGGCGTTCGGTTGGAGGACGATACGGAGTTTTTAAATTAAAAACTCCTATGATGTTTTAATGACTGTGATCTGTACTGGTTTTAAAAATCAGAATTGTGTGTTTTTATTTCTGCACTGTTGGGACACACCTCTAGCATACTTTTCAAATTATTTTACCCCTTTCAGATACTCTCGGATAGACACTCCGTATCAGGGACTTGGAGGATTGGTACATTTAGTTCAGAGTATTTTGTTGTAATATTATGTTTTCCGAACTGTTTTTAATTATGGTGACATGTACCTTTTTTCTGAAGTATTTATCGTTTTATGACGTATTCTGTTGTTGTTACTGATATTTGATTTTCGATGCTCCGGATTTATTTCACGTAATATTTTCCCTATTATCTTTCAAGTTTTATATTTAAGAATTTAGTTTTTATCGTTAATTATTATATACTTTTATATAAAGGTCATTTGTAACATGATTTTAAATTATCAAATAATGTTTTTGGAAAAATGTCTTTCAGAATCTTTAATGTAATCCGCTAGACTTAGCCGAAACGCATAGGTCGGGTATAGGGGGTTACAGTATGGGTAAGTACAAGCGTTGGTGGATCTAGGTTTTGGCGAGGGAATGTATCAGAAAATTTTTCGGATAATTACATATTTTATTGATTGTGTGTATTTTGAAATTTTATTTATCTCTACCCCACATAAAGATTTTATATTGTTAATGTATATGTGTTCACCCTTTAAAAATATTTATAGATTCACCACTTATTATAAAGTAGTACATGTTCATAATTATAACACTATTTTTTATTAATCTAGGCTACATACAAGTTAATATCTGTTAAAAACAACTCTTAGGTGGTGTTTGTTTTTGCAGAGGTAAAAGGTCTGCAGTCTGCGGACCACATCTGCAAGCATCTGCAGCAGAAGAGGTGGACCAAAAGTCTGTAGTCTGCAAGAAGAAGATTGTTTGTTTTTTAACGTCTGCAGACTGTTAAAATGAACTGAAATATAAATAAACTGATTTTTTAAACTTAAAAGAGTTTTGCAATACTGAGATTTAAATAATTTTAGTTTTACAATACTGAAATTTAAATAATTCATACAACTACAATAAAAAATTATTTAAAATAAATCAATCCATATTTTAAAATAAATCAATCCATACTAATAAATTATTTAAAATAAATCAATACATACTAATAAATTATTTAAAATAAATCAATCCATACAACTACAATAATAAATCAATCCATATTTTAAAATAAATCAATCTATACTAATAAATTATTTAAAATAAATCAATTCATACTAATAAATTATTTAAAATAAATCAATACATACAACTACAGTAATAAATCAATCCATATTTTAAAATAAATCAATCCATACTAATAAATTATTTAAAATAAATCAATACATACAACTACAGTAATAAATCAATCCATATTTTAAAATAAATCAATCCATACTAATAAATTATTTAAAATAAATCAATCCATATTTTAAAATAAATCAATTCATACTAATAAATTATTTAAAATAAATCAATCTATATTTTATAATAAATCAATCCATACTAATAAATTATTTAAAATAAATCAATCCATACAACTACAATAATAAATCAATCCACATTTTAAAATAAATCAATCCATACTAATAAATTATTTAAAATAAATCAATCCATATTTTAAAATAAATCAATTCATACTAATAAATTATTTAAAATAAATAAATCCATATTTTAAAATAAATCAATCCATACTAATAAATTATTTAAAATAAATTATTTTAAAATAAATCAATCCATATTTTATAATAATTTATTTTAAAATAAATTATTTTATAATAAATTATTTTAAAATAAATTATTTTAAAATAAATAACCTTATTAAATTATTTAAAATTATTTTAATAAATAACCATATTTTATAATTGTTCTTGAAGAGGTTTGAAGACCTTTGAAGACATAAAACCATGTCTGCACCATGAAGAGCTCACGCAGACGTTAGAAGAGCTTCTGTCTTCTAAAAAACAAACAGTTTGCGAAGCCTAATGTATGCGCGTGATCTGCACGGCGCAGACATAAGAGGTTTGAAGAGGTTGCACAGTGAAAACAAACTAAGCCTTAATCATTTGACAATAAATGCTCACACCCTTGACAGACTCGTCCCAAAAGATGTAGAGACACTGTGCTACTTTTTAAAATGAAACAATTAAAATATGTTATAAGATTGTAAAATATAAAAATTTATCATATTATGATTGTTTCTTAAAAATTAAAAAAATTCCAAACATACAAGATTAAGTTTTCTTCACTGAATATTCTTCACACATACGTTTAGTAGGAATAATAATTTTTTTGGGTTACAATATTTTTTCAAAGTGTGAGCCCCTAAATTTTGAAGTCTCATGACGTGTCATAAGTTACACTTACTAATGGATGAGCTTCACCCCTGACATTTATGGTGGTTGAACCCAAAACCTCAAAAAATAATAACAATTTATTTACCACCAAGATCGCTTGATTTGTACAATTATAATACTATTTTCTTAATTCCAAATGACAACTTTTCTCATAAGAAGAAAATTTATTTGTAGATTTACATTTGCACATAAAGTTGTATATGCAATATGTTGCAGCTGCATCATATAAACTTGAACCTACCTATGATTAAAAAAAGAGAAAATAACCTCAGTGACCAAAAATCCCATATAATATACGATTTTAACCAACTTTTTCCGGATTTGCCAAAATGACCAACAAAATCGCAATGCGATCGCTAATTCGCAACGCGATCTCCATTATCGCAAATCAGTTTCCAGATTCGCAACGCGATTATGACTATCGCAATGCGATTTTCCAATTTCGCGTTGTGATTTTCCCAATTCGCAATGCGAATAAGTAAATTGCAACGCGAATTGGGAAAATCGCAATGCGATATTGACTATCGCAACGCGATAATACAAAATCGCAACGCGATACTGACTTTCGCAACGCGATAATACAAAATCGCAACGCGATACTGACTTTCGCAACGCGATACTTACTTTCGCAACGCGATACTGACTTTCGCAACGAGATAATACATAATCGCAATGCGATTTTCAAAGTGCCATTAGTATCGCAACGCATATTTTATTTTCAAATTCCAAACACGAATATTAATATATTGAAACACTGAACTGTCCACAGTATATCCCGTAATCGCAACTCATAACCTAAAACCTAAAATCACAACTCAGTCCCATCTCCATCTCTCACTCTCTCACCCATCTCCGACGAAATCCGTTCCCATCTCCGGCGAAATCCGTCTATCTCCCAGAGCCACCCTCACAATCAGAAATGGAAAATCAACCAAATCAACCACCGAGGGTTAGTTTTTTTAATTATTTTCTTTTTGAAATTTTTGCATTATTATTAGGTTTTTCATATTGAAATTGATGATAAGTTTACTGGTAATTTCAATAATAGATTAACCATTTCACTTAGATTGCTTATTAAATCAACCGAGAATCGTAACGCGAAATGAAAATCGCAACGATAAAATCGCAACGCGATTTTAGTTTTGCGTTGCGATTCTCTCGTTGCGATAGTCAAATTCGCGTTGCGATAGTCATTTTCGTGTTGCGATTTTCATTTTCAGAAACTATTCTTCTTCTGCAAATTGAAACTTGAATGAATTGCATAACTTCAACCAAAAAACAAAGACAAATACGAAATTCACAGTGTTGCATTACTTCATTCTCGTTGAATGAAACTTGAAACTATTATTTATGTTTATTATTGTTTTTGGTATATCTTCACAGTGTAGTTTTTGGTATATCTAACTTAGTATGTTTATTGTTTTTGTAGAACTTTTATTCGGCTCAATTGACCTTAAGAAATAAAGTCAGCCTGGCCAAAACAATTGCGTCGAAGCTTTCACCTGCACAAAGAAAAATGTTTGAGGATACTTGCTTCGGGCCATGGCTGAAAGTACAACATCCCGGTGGAGATGCGATGTTGACACACCTGTTTCTTCAAACCATGACTAGCGATCTACCAGATACTATACAACGTCGTGATGAAGAGATATGGTTTGATTTTCCACCGGCGTATACGTGTTTTGGGCGGGAGGAGTTTTGCTTAATCACCGGTCTACGCTTCGGACACGATGATGTAGGTCGGTACACTAGACACATTACCCGCCCATCATGGTTATCCCGGGTTTTTCCTGAGCTAGAGAGGCCGAATCTACACGTGGAAGACCTGACGAGATTATTGAATAAGAAAGATGGTTTTACTCGGATGGATGACGTCGATGTTGTCCGAGTATGCCTTCTAATACTTTTGCATGCCGACTTTTTAGGCAGAGAGGCCAGACAACCTATTCCGAATGATCTAATCAAATTGGTAGAAGACCTAAATGCGTGGAACCTGTTTCCGTGGGGCTCGTATTTATGGAAAGCTACATGGAATAAGTTATCGTCTGCCTTGGATGATCGAAAAAGTTTGCATGGCGATGGTTCCAAATACACTTTGACAGGCTTTATTTGGGCCTTTAAGGTAAGAATTTTTATATAATGTTTCCAAAATTATAAGTAATTATTTAACAATTACTAATATTTGTTATTATATTGTTTGTAGATTTGGATATTTGAGGCCTTTCCCGCCATGAAGACATATGCAATAAAAACTTCAAATGATATTCCCAGGGCTATTTCCTGGAAGAGGAAACAGACCTTGCAATGGGAAGATTTACTACGGTATACGACAATAAATAATGTAAGTTAACATAAATACTACCATATGTTTATAAACAAGTTATTACTAGTACACGTTTAACTTTGTTTGAGCTTTTATATTGTTAGGAGGCCAACACTCCATTACAGAGGCTGACACCCACGGAAGCTGAGCTTGCCACTGATTGGTGGCAAGCTAGTAAGCGTTTTTTTGATGGCACGGATGATGAGCATCCTCCACTTCGGGAGCCATCACCTCACCCAGAGCTATCACCTCACCCAGAGCCATCACCTGATCGACCCGACTATACACCTCCACAACGACAGCCATCACCTATTCTGTCACATCATCGAGCCTCTTCTCCACCATCACCGCAAGATAGGCGACCGACAAAGATGCCACGACGTTTATCTCCCTGTTCTCCACCTCCATGGGATGAGTTAGGGGAGTTACGTGATGAGGTCAATGCCTTGCGTGAGGAGGTCGGTACTTTACGCAAAGACGATGGTGCATGGCGTGTTGAGGTGTCTACTTTACGCGGTAAGGTAGCCGCTCTACGTGAGATGGTAGCATCGTTGCAGAATGAGGTTCATACTCTACGCAACGAGGTAAGTTTAAGATTTTTCATATTTAACTTGATGATAAATTTACTCGTAATTTCACTTAGATTAACCATTTCACTTAGATTGCTTAATAAATTCATTCGGTTGCTGCCAATACTGTTAAATTGTTTTTGTTAGTATTTGTTTTTGGTTTTGTTTTAGTCTTTTAGTTGAAGTAATGCAATCCATTCAAGTTTCAATTTGCAGAAGAAGAATAGTTTACTTTCGCAACACGAAAATGACTATCGCAACGCGGAAATGGCTATCGCAATGCGAAATGAAAATCATAACGACAAAATTGCAACGCGAAATGAAAATCGCAACGCGAAATGAAAATCGCAACGCGAAATGAAAATCGCAATGCGATTTGCGTTTCGCGTTGCGATTTTGTCGTTGCGATTTTCATTTCGCGTTGCAATTTTCATTTCGCATTACGATAGCCATTTTCGCGTTGCGATAGTCATTTTCGTGTTGCGAAAGTAAACTATTCTTCTTCTGCAAATTGAAACTTGAATGGATTGCATTATTTCAACCAAAAGATAAAAACAAAACTAAGATTTTTCATATTTAATTTGATGATAAATTTACTCGTAATTTCACTTAGATTAACCATTTCACTTAGATTGCTTAATAAATTCATTCGGTTGCTGCCAATACTGCTAAACTATTTTTGTTAGTATTTGTTTTTGGTTTTGTTTTTGTCTTTTGGTTGAAGTAATGCAATCCATTTAAGTTTCAATTTGCAGAAGAAGAATAGTTTACTTTCGCAACACGAAAATGACTATCGCAACGCGGAAATGGCTATCGCAATGCGAAATGAAAATCGCAACGACAAAATCGCAATGCGAAATGAAAATCGCAACGCGAAATGAAAATCGCAATGCGATTTGTGTTTCGCGTTGCGATTTTCATTTCGCGTTGCGATTTTGTCATTGCGATTTTCATTTCGCATTGCGATAGCCATTTCCGCGTTGTGATAGTCATTTTTGCGTTGCGATTTTAAGTTTCGTGTTGCGAAAGTAAACTATTCTTCTTCTGGAATATTTATATATGTTGTCCTTTTAAATGTTTATATAAGTGCTTACTTCTGGAATGTTATCTGATGCATTTTGTGAACTATGATAGAATAATGACTTGGGTGAATACAATGCAAGTTTGAAACATATTTGTCTTTGTTTAATATCATGTCTGTTTATTTATTGATTTATGCATTAATTTTTTTTTAGCGGCCCGATAAGGTGGATGCTTTACGTCGAGTTTTCCTTGCACGACGGAGTTCACGCATCAGACGGCGTGCACGTGCTATTACGTCTCCGTTCACCCCAATGGTGCGAAGACTCCACAAGAAGAAGCCCGACTCACCTGTCATCCCTCAAGAGTCCCCTCCAATCGTTCAAGAGGCCCCTATCATCCCTCAAGAGTCCCCCCCACCGTTCAAGAGGCCACTGTCATCGTTGAAGAGGTCCCTCCCACCATTCCAGAGCCCGATTCACATGGGGTAATATATCGAATTATTGAGAAACCCCCACCGTTGCCGGACATGATGGATGAGAGTTGGCTCTCGTATAAGTTACCGACTAGTACCCTTCCGGTATCTGAAGTGGAGAGGAGACAACTACCGGAAACAATTCTGGATAATACCCTTTGGGCTAAGACCGCAGTTGATTTTTATATACATGAGCGGAGCCAAGGGTGTTACACTGACATAAGCAAACTCAATGATGAGATGTATTTGTTGCTTAATCGGTCTTGGTGGGGTGTGTTATTAGGGGTTGAAGACAGTGACTATTTCGATGGGGAGGTAAGTCTTATATTTGTCTTATATATGATTTTGATTAATTTTTTTAAAAATTAATGTAATTCACTAATATATGTCTTTTTTGTAAAACAGCATATCGATGCGTAGGTGTCACGTCTTCTAATAATAAGGAAGCTTAGGAAAAATAAAAAAAATTCGCGATATACAATAATGCCGGCGGCTTTTCACGCAGTTCACTTGAAGAATCAACGAGATGAATCATTTTCGTTGGGCAATGGACAAGCTAAACTTTATCCTGCATGGTGGGAGGTCGATAAGGTTAGTGTTTATTTTTTAAATTTTTTAAAGGTGTTCATAAATAAGTGCGCAAATAAATGAATTATTACTTATGATTGCAGGTGTTTATCCCTGTTTTGGAACGTCATCATTGGCTTTTCGTCCAACTTCAGCTCCCATCCCTGAAAATAATAGTATATGACAGCATGATAAATTACATATCACTGTCTGATTTGAGAGATATTATCAAGGGATGGAGCTCTCATTTGGCTAAATTCTTGGATGGGATTAATTATTGGACTCATTCTGGACACAAGAAGCCAAAGAATTTCAATGTCACAGTTGTCAGAGACGAGACCGCACCACAACAATCGCTGGGAGCCAGAGGGGATTGTGGTCCTCTCGTATGCATGTGCTTGGCGCGTTTGACGACGGGAAGCATAGAGTTTCTACATCCCACCGATAGAGATAGAGCTGCAGTAGGCTTGTGGTTTCGGCATTATATGGCTAGAGCGATATATTCGAGACACTGCCTACCTGCATCCGCGTTATGAAAGTATCCATAAACAATTGGTAAGTCAAATGCAAGTTTTGTTAACATATATACTCCTTTTGGTTTGAAAATGTTTGGTTAAGTACCTAGAATTTAATAATTTGCTGTTTGTGGGTTTTAGATGTGTAGGAAGTCTTGTTTGAGCAAATGTTTGGTTTCTGCAGGTTAATCCTTAAGTGAGCTGCGTGAAATGGATGTACGGGTGCAAAAGTTGATTCATTGATTCAATAATTGATGAGGAAATAAGAATTATTATTATTTTTTGATTGTTTAATTGATTTGTAAAAGATGATTTGTAAATGTTGATTTGTTTAATTGATGTGTACATAATTCTTATTTGTGCTTGTTTAATTGATTGAAATGTAATAGTTGATTTATTGATTTTCAATCTGCATTATGTTGAAGGCAAAACAGACTATCACAACACGAAACTGACTATCGCAACGAGAGAATCGCAATGCGAAATGAAAATCGCAATGCGAAATGAAAATCGCAATGCGAAATGAAAATCACAACGAGAAAATCGCAATGCGATTTTCATTTCGCATTGCGATTTTCTCGTTGCGATAGCCATTTTCGCGTTACGATTTCCCCGTTGCGATAGTCAAATGAATGTCTAATAAGTGATAACAACTGAACAGATCATAGCAATGTTCAAACTCAAGTTACTAATACATGCCTAACTGAAAATGTTAAAAGTGCACACATAAAATACACATAATACAACGTTTGCATTTAAAAATCACCTAAGTTAACAGTCCCAAAAGGTGAAGCCGGTTGTGATTGGGATTTTGAAGATGATTGCGATTTTGATTGCCTTTTGCTTGACACCATATGAGCTTTGGATTTTGATGAGGATCCATATTTTGGTAGAGGAAAAGATGATTGTGATGGCACTGGTGAACCACATGTCAACCTTATATGACCACTTTCCTTGCACCGACTACATGTCGATCTCTTCTTCTCTTCACCCTTAGACGGTATACGATCGTGACTTTTTGGTCGGCCAGGTAGCCTTCTGTCCATGGCTGGTGGCAAAAATGTTTGTAAGTCATCTGGTATGTCCCACTCAGAAGGATGTGGAATAGGGTAGACAATCTCGGCATAAGTCTGTCGATATACTTCTGTAGTGTAGCAATCCATAGCGTGTGTGCTTGAATCATCTTGGTTTAGATGAAGAGCAACTTTTATAACATGGCCACACGGATAACCAGATGTTTGCCATTTCATACAACTACACGTCCTTGCATTTAGATCGACAAGCCCATTTAAGTTATTATCCAGTACTTCAAACAAAGTGTTTGAACATGGTTCAACTCTCCATAACGTTGACTTCACAACACGTTTTGTTATCTTTTTTTCAGTCCATGGTGTAACACGATGTTCCAATGTTCCTGTAAATTTAAATAAATAATACTTAGTAAAATATATGATAAGTTACGAATTCAAAGAAATAATACATGCATGGTTTCTTTTCTTGCAGTACCACTGTTGAATAGAGGCTCGAAAAAACTCCATTAACATAGTAATGGGTAATTTCCGGGAATGACGACTTAGAGCGTTGATTGATTCTGCACTATTAGACGTCATGAAACCATATCTTGCTCCAAGTTGATGTACTCTTGACCATCTTTCAAACCCGACATCTTCTAGTGTTTGAGCACACTGAGGCAAAACACGTCTTAAACAGTTTATATGCTTATTGAAATCCACTTCCCGATAAGCTTTTACAGCCTTCCAGTATGTCCATTTGTGCTTTTTTATACCAGCATACCTTGATTTTAGATTTCTATACAAATGAACACCACAAAGTCCATGAAAAGCATCTGGGAAACACCTTCTAACAGCGTTGTCAATTGAGTTTGCCCTATCGGATATGATTGTCAAATTGCTAATAGGACCTATGCAATCCCTAAGATGCCCCATAAACCATGTCCATGAATCAGAGGTTTCAGATTTGCAGACCCCGTAAGCTATTGGCAATATCCCATTATTACCATCCATGTCTACTGCTAATAAGTTTACTCCAAGGTATCGACCTTTCAAATGTGCTCCGTCAACTATAATAACTGGGCGCATGCAAGTAATAAACGAACGAATCTACAAAATAATATACACAAGAAATATAATCATTTAAATGTGAAATGCATGTAACTAACAAAAATGAGTCAACAGAATTATATTGATTTACTAACCGCAGCACCAATGGCGATAAACAACAACTCAAAGCGTCCATCTCTATCTGTTTTGATATGAGTTACCGACCCATGATTTTTCAGCTTTAAATTGTGACAATAAGCCGGCAGTTGGGCCAACGATGCTTCTGGCGACCCCCTCAACAATTCCAAGGCATAACATTTGGCTCTCCAAGCTTGAGAATATGATATACTAATCTTGAACCGAGCATTCATGTCAGTCATAATTTCATGTCCCCGATATACCCTGCCATTCAAAAACATTAACTCAGCCAGAAAACCACCCAACACCTTTTTGTTTGCCTGTCTATGGTGAGGAAAAACTTGGGTTCTTGAACATGTATGTTTATCAATAAAAGTCCTAACTTGAAACATTTCGCAATCTTTTATCCTCTTTGCAATCATACGCCACGTACAGTTTTTGTCAATCATACACCTTGTTTCGAAACAATCTTTGCTTGATTTGTTAACTTTTAGTTGATAGCCATCTTCCACACATTTCGTATACAAAGCTATCTTCAAGTCTTCCTTTGTATCAAAACAATCATCTTTCTTGATACGAATAACTTTTGTGTAACAATCAACTGCTTTCTATACCAACTCTTCTTCTGGTATCTGAAGTAATTCTGGCATATTCCAGTTATACTCCCGTGGCATTTTCTTTTCTTCGGGGACTTTTTCTTCTTCTTTTTCTTCTTCAGGATTATATGAATTACAGAATGGATGTTCAACATGTTCATTCACAGTCGTAACTTCCTCCTCATTATCATCAACAACATCTTCCTCGGCAACGTCTGTTTCATCATCAAAATTCGGGTATTGACCAATATCAAAATCATTACACGCAGGGTCTGTTTCTTCTTCTGAAACATCATCAAAATCCGAGTATTGACCAATATCAAAGTCCGGGTATTGACCAAGATCAAATTTCGAATACTGACTAGTACTCACAATTTTTTCTGTTGGCTCATCATCGTCTAATTGGTCAATACGAAAACCGGAATTTGGTGCTGAAAGTTGATTGGGATTTGGATTAGAGAAAGGTTGTGAGTTTTGAGAAAAACTTAGTTGATTACTACCCGCTACTGACCCAACAATACTACTTCTAGGTTCAACAACATACAATGTAACATCATCACTTGAAACACTAATGTAAGCAATGAATCGTTCAACATCTTCATTGTTGGTTAACAAATAAACTTTACTATTTCTCTGATAAGATAGCCTAAATCCACTTAGGGGCTCTAAATTCAATTTCTTTGAAACACGTAACATTAGAGTTTCATAAGTTAACTTTTTTAATGACAGTTTTAGTTGAAGATTCATGGGTAAAGGCATATATTGTAAAACACCATGAACATTCTCCCATGACCCTCCAAAACACAAATATATCCAAACATGATCAATATTAGATGATTTCATGGTTGTAAATTAATTTACTAAACAAACGAGCTGCGAAACTAAGACCTGTTGCCGGATGGGGAAGGATGTAGGAACGGATATAGGAACGGATGTCGCCGGAGAGAGTGATAGATGGAGATGGAATGAGTTGCGATTTAGGGATTTAGGTTATGAGTTGTTGCTGCTGCGTAGATATATACCCAAAAAATTTGTGTTGCGAAACTAAAACCTGTTGCGAACTTTGAAAATCGCATTGTGATTCTGTATTATCTCGTTGCGATAGTCAGAATCTCGTTGCGAAAGTCAGAATCGCGTTGCGAAAGTCAGTATCACGTTACGAAAGTCAGTATCGCGTTGCGATTTTGTATTATCGCGTTGCGATAGTCGGTATCGCATTGCGATTTTCCAAATTCGCATTGCGATTTACTTATTCGCATTGCGAATTGGGAAAATCGCAACGCGAAATTGGAAAATCGCATTGCGATAGTCATAATCGCGTTGCGAATCTGGAAACTGATTTGCGATAATGGAGATCACGTTGCGAATTAGCGATCACATTGCGATTTTGTTGGTCATTTTGGCAAATCCGGAAAAAGTTAGTTAAAATCGTATATTATATGGGATTTTTTGTCACTGAGGTTATTTTCTCTTAAAAAAATAAACAAATAATAAAACAATAATAAATAACAAAGTATAACTTTCTTCTAGTCTGAATAATTGACCCATTACTGGATTTTCCAGACTTGAACAATTCTAGTGACCAGGTCCTCTAGGACTGGGTCCAGACGCAAAGCGCTCGAGCCAGCACGACATGGTGAACTTGGCCTTCTCGTACACTGACGAGTATATCTCCAAGTTATTTGCTTTAGCAAAATCTTCGCTTAAAACTCGCGTCGCCTCGACTTGAACATGGCTCGTAATGGCCACCGAAATGACGAAAATGATCAAAAGGGTGCACAATTTTCTGCTGTTCATCTTTTGAAATCGCCTGTGTTTTCCTTCACCTGATATCTCAAACTATAACCTTTCTTTTGTTGCTGAAAGCTCTGTATGAAGGTTGTTTTTTTTTATGAAGAATGGAAGAGAAATGAGGTGTATATATATATATATATATATAGGCAAGGTTGGTAGAGTTGTAGTCTAGTAAAATGGTTTGAATATATTAGTTGGGATTTTGGCAATTGGTTTTGAACAGATTACGTGTTGACCAAGAAGTTTTGAACCAGTCATGCATGCAGCAGACATAAAAAAAAGGAAAAACTGTGGAAATGGCTTTTAGAAATGGGGTTTAGGGTTTTGAATGTGTCAGAAGGACGAGTTGTTTGAACACTTGAATTCATACTGCATGCATGCGGGGTCGGATGTAGGGCTTTGTACAGGGTGATATTGAAATTCAATTTTTTTATGTTAGTAATTTATTTTATTGAAAGCATCTATCTTAAAATTTTATTTATGTCTACCTCGTACGAAAAATTTATATTATTAACATACATGTACTCACTTTCAAAAATATTTTTAGATTTAACACTGCATACATGTAATCCCTTTTCGGTAGAAAGTTGGTTTCTGTCGTGTTTAAGATACTATACATAAATCACATTAGTCAACAATTAGGAAGTATAAGTTACAATTTTAATAGTTGCAATCGGTTGTAGTGGCGAATTCAAAAATATTTTTCAGGATAAACACATATATATATTATTCACATAAAATTTTTATACGGGTGGACACAAATAAAATTTCAGGGTGGACACAAACATAAAAATAAGTAACTATTAAAAGAAAATTCAAATTTTAGTGGGCAAGTGCCCGCTTTGAATCCTTAATGGACCTGTCACTCATAAGTTGTAATTGAAAATTTTATTAATTACATAACTTTTTAGAATATATTGAGTAGCATTTTAGATTAAAATTGAAAATATTATCTTCTCCATTACAAGTCATGTAAATTGCATAACTATTATAATTGCAACATAATAAATTACCGTCAATAAATTCAGATAACATTTTCGTTTGTAACTGAAATTATTATCAATTGTATAAGCTTTAAGAGTAGACAAAACAATATTTTAGGATAAAACCTACGTTAATATAACATTTTCAGTTGTCATTAAAATTATTATAAATTATGTACTTTTTAAAATAAACTTGATAATATTTTTGGTATCAGACAAGACTGAAGTAATTAATAATGAAGTCCAATGTTTTGAAATTTTCTTTTGATTTGTTAATTAGTTTGTTTATTTTGAATGGAATGGAGTGCAAGAAAAGCCTGAAACCCTAACTATTACAGTAAAGCTACATTGACGGCACTTCATTTTTCGTTCAATGACTGCTATTTATATTTTATGCTTTAAATTTTATAGCCTCCCTCAGCTAAAAGTTTTGACACGTTTCCTCCCTTTTTTCTTTCTTTCTTTCTTCATAAGCAATTTCTACAGTGTCTAAGGCTCCCAATAGAACAGCTCCATGTCAATTAAACAAGGCAATTTCAAGTTTAAAACTCAAGTCTCAGCAGCTGCACTCCTCTCTTATCACGAACTGTGACCTCTATACCAAATGAAATCTGCCCGAATATCGCAACTTCGGTTTTACGATAAACTTGGGAATTCATCCAGGTATAACAACGATCCTTTGCCGTTCGTAATAGGCGGCAACTATCGGTTAGATACTCGAAAGGTGTGGAACATATTAAAAAAGGTCTAAGTTGACAGACTATTTTGTACATTAGCAAGCTATTTGAATACATGGTCCAAAAACATGGGACATTGCCGCTGGTGCCCATTAGGATAAGTGCAACATGACAATGATCATTTAATGTGAACACATAAAAGTATGTACATAAGCAACCAAATTTTGCTATAGTTGGTTGAGTTTGGACTGGACTGCAGATAGAGATAGCATCTATTCGGAATCTAGCTCGATACAGTAAATTGTTGGAAGAAAGTTTGTTAATCAAATAAAAATAGTCATTTTGGCATCCGCATCAGGAACTTTAAAAGTCCTTTGCCTTTTTCCTCAGTTCATTAAGCTCCATCTCAATCTCAGCGTCTTGATACGGAAATGCCTTGTTTGTGCTACCAGAACCAGTTCTTCCAGGTGGAAGCTCTCCTTTCTGTTGGTCAAAAGAAGAGGCAAAAAGAAAAAGAAAAACTTTGAGGTTCAATTTTGACCGTGGGGAATTTCTTTTCCTTCTCAAACCACTAAGACTCCGTAGTTTCCGAAACATACCAGGGAAAGTAAAAACGATATGCAAAAGATTCTGAATGTTCAGTCAATTCCGAATTTATTTATAATTGATCAGTCAGTTTTGAATTCAGTTCTTCACCCAATATCCAGTAATTTAATTTTAAAATATGCAGGGGAAGTTATGTATACGAGAGGCTAATACAATCATACAGAATCCCGTTTTTCGTAAAACAAGTATGAGAAGTACCTGTGAGCTACCAGAGTTCCCCTTTCATTTTTGTTAGATCATCATCAACCGATGTGCTCTCAAGTAATGCAAACTGCAAATTTAAGAAATGGAATCGAAAAATACATCATATTATCATATTGAAAGGCTCCTACATATGTGCAGCAGTACATTGCATTCTCATTACAAATTTTCAGGTTGCAGACAATCCAGAATATGAAACCCAAAATTTCTGACTAATAAAATACCAAAATACTAATGATTTATCTGCAAATTACAATAATAATATTACTTATCCCGATTAATATGACCTGTTTCATACCACAACCACAAAAAAAAATGGCTACCATATCAAATTGGCTGTCCATCTATTTTCAGTTCAGGGACCTTACCGGGAAACCCTTCCAATCCTAGGAGAAACTCAACAGAAACATATAAATCTTATGTCCCAATTTCAAAAAGATTCAAGCATATAACAACAGCTAAATTGACATTTCCTATTTACACTGTCAACAAGCCATTATGTCGTTATCGGGCATATGATGCCCACCACCATCAATCACGAATATTATTGCATACCAACAAGAGAAATTTGGCCAAGAAAGTTTAAGTGAGATTTAAAGAATGCAAATAAAGATAGAGCAGTCACTACCTTTCCTTCAAGATCATCGGTGGTTAACTGCCCAAGAGCTTCTGCTTCAGACTCCATAGCCATAACTGTCCCAAGAAAAAGAAAAGAAGATATGGTCAGTATGTAGTGATCAAGAACTGCATTTGGCAAGGAGGGATTTCAAATCATCAGGTGCGTGATAAGGATGATATCTAACAATGTATTTTGAATCTTCAGTTCTTTTTTAATCACCTATGATTCATGAATATCCAAACATGAAAATGGGAATATCATCCTCCAAAGGCTTTCTATATACATGGAAATAATTAAGAAAAAAAAAAAAGATACCCATGTCCACTACACACCCAATTCCAAGTGACAGAGATTGCAGTTCTAAATAATATATGATTACTAATAGCATGACTTTTACGCAAAGGATTATTAATAAATGATATCCTTTATATTTCTCTGAGCAATAGGCAATTTTGAGATATTAATAAATGATATAAAACACCCTTCCACACTCGACACCAATCACGAACTTCATGTCTAGTAACCTACTGAAAATATAAAGGATATCACACAAGTCAGAAATTGTCAAGAACCTGAACTGGAATCTCCTGCCTCAGAAATTAACACAGGTATGGAATCTTCTTCTAGTGGATAATTTGTTCCATTTATTGTAATTGCGAGGCTGATAAGCTAGCAAAGGAGGGGATTGGGTGATGATAATTGCTGTTTCAGCGAGTTGGGGCGTTCAGCAGTTAGGATTTTTAGCAGTGTGTTTAAGTTTTATGTATCTCGCAGGACTGTTTTTAAGTCTTATGTAATTCATTTGCAATCAATAAAGTCTGGCACTCTTTTCCTCCTTCCGCTAGTTGGTTCTTACCCTACGGTTAAGGACCTCTAAGAGGGCGGTTTTTAATGAGGCCATCTATTCCTATCAAAAACAATAATTTGTTCCATTTGTTAATAACTCAAAACCGCCTATTGCTCAGAGAAAAGGAGTTCGGATATGCACTAATCATCCTTTTGAGAGATATGTAGCCTATGGAAAATTGATATCATCATTCAGAACATTCACCACATCACTTGATAGCATATGGATTCAAAAATCAGTTTTCAAAACACTGAAGATTCCAACAGGAAAGAATGTTGAAGAAATTAAGGCCTTAGAAAATAATAGCATGTGGATTCTCACAAAACTACAACAAAGGAAGAAAACAATAGGTTGTAAGTGGATATTCAGTCAAATACAAGGAAAACAGAAGTGTTGAAATATTCAAAGCTAGTGGTGGCAAAAGGGTTCATTCAATCATACGGGATTGATTACCATAAGGCATTTTCTCCTGTTGCCAAACTAAACACAGTTCAAGTACTGCTGTCATTGGCATTAAATGAAGAGTGGCTTTTATATCAACTAGACATCAAAAATACATTTTTATATCAAGTAGACATCAAAAATAAATTTTTATATCACCTAGACATCAATAATACATTTTTAAACGAGAACCTTGAAAAAATTTACATGAACATACCTCCAGGCTTAGAAAGTCATGCTACTAGCTACAAAGTAAGCAAATTGAAGAAATCACTATATGGTTTAAAACAGTCTCCTCGTGCTTGGTTTGATAGGTTTACCAAAGCTGGTGGTGGCAAAAGGGTTCATTCAATCATACGGGATTGATTACCATAAGGCATTTTCTCCTGTTGCCAAACTAAACACAGTTCAAGTACTGCTGTCATTGGCATTATATGAAGAGTGGCTTTTATATCAACTAGACATCAAAAATACATTTTTATATCAACTAGACATCAATAATACAATTTTATACGAGGACCTTGAAAAACTTTACATGAACATACCTCCAGGATTAGAAAGTAATGCTACTAGCTACAAAGTATGCAAATTGAAGAAATCACTATATGGTTTAAAACAGTCTCCTCGTGCACGGTTTGATAGGTTTACCAAAGCAGTGGTCACTTATGGATACAATCAGTGTCAAGCAGATCACAACTTGTTAGTGAAAA